CCTTTACAGCAATACTACTAGGCTTATTTGATCTTTAAGGAGCTATAATATAATAAAACACATGTTGTCACTCACCTACCAGCTATCTGCTCGTTTGGACCTCTTAGCTGAATCTGAAGTAAGGCATGGGAGCGAGAGGAGAGTGGATTCACTCCACTCATCCCCTGTGTGCGCTCCTCTGTACCCTGTGAAATCACCTTTGTAAGCGCAACAAAGAATGCACGAGGAGGGAGACAAGAGAGAGAGAGATTGAGATTTCAAAAGATGTTGAAATCAACTGCAGTATTTACTATTTCAAATGTAGAAAATCATAGAATTCTTTATTTAAGCTACTCAAGAGTCTGCTGGTGCATCTGTGAAGATGTAAGCACAGAATTAGCCGAACTGAAGCCTATGTATATGTATTTATGTATCTAAGGTTTAGGTAAAACACAATTAAAAAACTTAAAAGAACAAGGATTTTTCTGTCCTCTGCCAGCTCTGGCCAACACAGCATTGACATGAGGAAATTTTCAAAGAAAGGGGGCAAACCTCCAGCAGTGATCGAACTGAGTCCACTCTGACATCACGCAGCCCAGCAATGTGAACCACCTTCTGTCCATCTTCCCTGGCAAATAACCTTATGAAATGGAGAAAGAAAAAGAGAGAGTTTTAGAGGGAGAAGAAATTGAGAAAGAAGAAAATGAAGGTTTATCATAAATAAAGTATTGAGAAGAGGACATCCTGGTTCACTTTGATGATGAGGATGTTGCCAAAAAATAAACAAACACTGCCACAAACACACACCTTTTCCTGTGGTCCAACAGGTCATACAGCTGACCACAGTAGATTTCAAAGAAGCTGACATACACCAGCAAGGGCGAGTATGTGTGTGTGGTGGAGAGGTGAGCAAAAATGTCCCGAACTGCCAATGAATACAACCCCTGTCTCCCAGGAGATGAACCCAACATGGTGTGAGTCTTCCCTGCACCTGTCTGCCCATATGCAAAGCAGGTGGACTTGCCCCTGTGGGTGCATACAAAACACAGATAATGATAATTAGGGAGCACAGATTCATAGAAACACAGAGCCAAAATGCCTAGAAGCATGTACGTCAAGCCCCAAACCTGATTCATTTGGACAACATACACACCTCCATAAATACCACTACATCAGTGCTACCCTACCCATTGAGCATGTGCTGCACCAGGGGATATGCTGTTCTTTGATACACCTCCTCATTGGTGCTCTCCTCCCCAAAAACCTGGTCAAAGTAGAACCTGTGCTGCAAGGAGCAAGAGCAAAAGGGCAAGGAATGAAATAAACAAAACAAGTAAAACAAGGTAACTTTAACATATAAATATTACACAAGTCCAGTATTTCATCAGACAATACTTAGACATTACCACAGTTTGATGATAAGTGTGTTTATCTGGTGTATTTTTAGTCGTACCTACAGTAGAAATACATGACAAAACATAGATTTGTCATTGTCTCCTCTCTGGACATACTGTATCTACCTGTAGTATGTACTGTGTGAGATCCACAGCCTCTTTGCTTTCATGGACAATCACACAGTCAGCAGTAGGCGTTGTCACAACATCTTCCTCTCCTCCCCTCCACTCTGTGCGTGTCAGAGGTCTTTTCCTCACACACACACTGATGCGCTGTCCCCCTGGTTGCCTGCAACACACACACCAATCACAGAAAATCAAAAGGATGATCATGTCCAAAGGAAACAATGCCCATATGCAAACTTAATGCAAACTAATTCAAAGAAGACACAACCGCAAAAAGCATGTAAATTAAAGTTTTATTGGAAACCTCGCCTCAATGCAAGTGTTGTAGCCATTTGGGTACTTTATAGCTTTCTGATTGTCTTTCATGTTCACTAAATGCGTTTAACATACTGTGGCTGTCTTCACTAAGATATTAATTCACAAATAGGGAGCTAGCAGTAAGGACAATACAAACCATTAGCACTCACTTTTTGTTTGGGGCAAGAGGGGAACACAGTGGTAGTCCATAGTTGTAGCCAGCTGTTGTCCTGGATTCATAAACAGGTGTGGCCTTAGTCATGTGTTCAGAAGCGTTGTTACTGCTTATTTCTGTATAGAGTTTTTCCTTCTTAGAGATTCCTTTTCTATCTTTGTGCCCAACCGGTTTGTTGCTAAACCTTTTTGATGCCACTGCTGCAGGCCTGGCTCTTGGTTTGCAGGATGAGACACACATTGGTGGTGATCTGGTGTGGGAGCTGTACACAGAAATTCCTTCCACAATGTCTGGCTTGGTTTTTGCTACTGTGTAATGATTAAATTGATGACTATGGACATCTGGCCTGTGGTTGTTGTTCTCTTTGCAGCTACATACCACAGCACGTCCAGTGTCAAGCTCAAGCTGCACAGGTAAGGCTGATCCTTGGCCTTGGCCTGGCATATTGCTTCTATTATGACTTGCAGAGGCATGAACGGTGCCTACTGGATGAGAAAGTAGCTTCTGATGATGATCGATGGTTTCAGAACTGAAATCAAGCCGCCTGCGAACACATGATGGTTTGGAAAAACTAGATGCATTTAGCTTACTCGCAGCAGCGCCCTTCTCATCCTCATTATCATACACATCTTCATCAGGATCTCCACAACCATCGTAAGTAATGATACTATCTGCCCCAGCACAGCCTAAATCACCACCGCCAGTATCTTCATAATGATCACGATCTTCATATTCAAGGCTCTCCAAGTCAAGAGTTTTGACCATTTGGACGAGATGGAAGAGTCGAGTCCTGTCCTCCATAGAGCTGATTCCCAGGATGGGGTAATCCTCCATGGTCAGCTCGGAAAGGTGGGCTGCACGACGAACACCCACTGAGATAAACCTGAAGGACAGGAGACAGAGGGAGACGGATGGTCAGAGGAGGAGAGGATTGGGAAAGTTTGAATTTGGATGTACTGTGAGTGAGTGAGCTCACCTGGCATAGTGACCCTGCAGCCCAACCGCCCTCAGACACTCATACAGGCAAAGTGTCATTTCCTCCTCTTCTTCTTCTTTTTCTTCAACTTCACTCCACCTACCCTGGGAGTGGCAGACACGTGGCTTTAGTCTCTCCATCAGGTGGTCACACAAAGCAAAGACGTGCAAGAACGTGTACAACTAGAGTAATTCTATGATGACAAGCTAAACTTAACCAGAAAATTAAAAAAAACAACTACTAACTTGAATGGCCACTACCCAAGCTCCTTTCTGTAGCTACACTCCCTCAGTGATTTCTGTCAGTGGCCAATCGTCAGGTCGGTCACTGCTTCATTACTACCACACCATACTGTTGTGGTGGCAACCAAAGCACAGGACACTGGTATGATGCTGAAATTTGATGCACGGTGCAGTCATGTCACACATTTCTGTAACGTAGCAAATATGATAAATATAGCAGACACAGGCATGCGACTGTTGCTTCCTTGACTTACAGTAGATTGGCTGGCAGCTGCAATAGTCCTGACATATGGTACTTGAATGACACCCTCTGCATATGCATGAATACCGTGCAGTGCTGTTCATTACTGTGTTTATGAAACAGTACACTGCTTCAAATCCCACTCCTAGAGGTCCATATTTCCTCCAGGCTGAGCCACAGTTCCTACAGTGAACTCATGTTTGCATTTGATTGTCAGCAACTGTTAATTCTGCAAATTGAATTGCACAAAGACAACCTGCAGTGCAGTTGAAATTACATTTAAATCCATCTTAACTACAGAGCATAAAGTATTATGTGAAGAGGGTTGTTGACACCTGTCCATTTCAGGGATGGTCTTTTGGAAAAGTTGTTGTGCTTTTAAAATTATTGTTAAATCATAAGACACATCATACATTTTCTTAAATAAATAACTGACAAACTGTAAAGCTGTAAAGTTTCTATAAAAAGCAACAAAAAAAATAACAGAAAACTTACCTGATTCACTGCAGACATTTTAGCAACAAAAGACTAATGAGTGAACACGACGGTTTACCTGATGAACTGACAAAATGCATAAATATTTTACAAAGTTGCTACCGTGAGTAGTGTCACTATTTCCGTACACGAAGTAGGTCTCCATAACAACGCAAACAGTTTGGGGAGGGCGCTTTCTTTTCCCGCTGTGGATGAGCACAACTCCTCCAAAGACAGTCCTTGGTAGGCAGAAACTATGAGAAATGTTATCAGACGTAAATGCAGAAACCCAGCCGGTCGAATTACGCTCACTTCAGCATGGAAGAGGGAGATAATCCCTCAGAGGGCTTAATGCCCACCAACAAACCTGCTGAGACAAAAAGCCTTCTCAGACTAAACCATTGAGACATTTGCCCCACTGGTGTTACAATATACTTTATGGAGATCTTAGTAATTGACCATTGATGGAGATGTATTTTCTGGGTTTATTAATAATAATAATAATAATAAAAACACATGTTTTATAATTGTTATTATTATTTGACATAATAATAACAACAATACAGCAAAATACAGTTGTAAACTGGTAATTGGGCTGTTGTGAAATGCAGTAAAATGTAGAATCCGATTAAATAAATAAAAGAAAAAATTCAACATATATAGGCTAGATAAAACAAAGACATTAAAATATTTCAAAATATACACTATTTAACACCCTTAAACACAATCTAAAGATCTCTAAGACTAGAAACATTTATTCGGGTTTATTTTTATTAATAATTTTCATAATTACACGTTTATTTACCCTCATAGGTCCTAACTCACTGCCTAATCCATTACTATATTAAATACATACAATACATCCTGTATAAAGAGCCATATAGAGACATATATAGATAGAGATATATCGCAATATGGCTCTGCACGTACATGTCTACTTTGTGTATACTTGGTACACCCTCTGTTTGCCATTTAACGAAGAAAAGTGGAGCCATATAGGAAACAACCTTTAAACCATAAAGGGGAAGGAGGCCAAGGAACCCCGTATATCCGCCCGTGTTTCATAGGGGACAACATTCGACGTAACACACGCACACTTCCTCAAACCTAGCAGACCCATAGTTGGTTAGTTAGTTAGTTTTGGTTTTTCGTGAAACGCCGACGAGTTTTGGTTCGCATTTTATCTTTGATACACGTCCAAATAAACTCACACGGTCTGTTCCACACAGATAAAGCACTAAAAAAAAAAAACATCCGTGCGTGTAACTTTAGCGAGATAAACTTCATCAGCAACCAGTTGCTAGGCTACCAGACCCACCCCGTCATAAAGACTGCCATGGCAACCAGCTACAGAACCTATGGGTGACATTCAGTGTCAGGTGGGTTGATCTAATGACTGAATGGACAGTTCATTATAAACTTTGAATTAAAGAGGAACTACTGCTCGAAAGACACTGTGTGTATTCATGCAGCATGTTATCTGCACCCCTCCATTTGAAAGTGGAGGGAATGAAAGAAGCTGATGTTCAATCTGTGACACATCTGTAACACTGGCAGTATATGTAATCTGTAACACCTTGCAGCGACATCAAGCTCATTCTGTTCATCAGTGTGAAACCAACTGGGATTCACAGGTCTGCAGCTGAACCCGGTGCAGTGACAGATGGATTTTAGGGGTGAAACTTAGATACTTTACTGCGCCGATAAAAGTAACCAGTTTCTGAACATCCATGTGGTTAATGAAGGTGGAGATAAAGAGCAGGAGTGGGACTAGTTTGATCAAACGCAAAACCTGTGCCGTATGATTTTCCTGTGAATTGCGTTGCATCCTTCCTCAAGAAAGTGAATAAAGTCTAATAGCTCTGCATAAAAACAACATTCATTACCAGTATATTTATCATATCTTCAAAACTAAAATTACTTTCAAAAATGTTCTCTATCATATCAGGAAACCTGCCGTAGGAAGTAACCAACATGTCGTCTGAGGAGGAGGCTTCTCAGACTTCCTCTTCTTCCTCCTCTCCCCCTCCCTCCTCCTCCTCCTCCTCCTCCTCCTCACATCCCCCTTCATCACACTTCATCGGGAAGAAGGAGGACATTGTCAAGGCTGGCCGCGTGACCAAGCTGGTGAATGGATGCAGAGACGTACTGGTCGTGTGGCACCAGGGGCAGCTTCATGCAATGGACATGCGCTGCTACCGTAAGAGTGTGTGTGGGGGGGTTGTTTGTGTTCACGTAACGTATAAAGCTATACTCCTCACCTGTCCATCATACTAATTATTAAAGTGTGAAATTAACTTTGTATGTTGGTCTTATCACATGTTTGAAACACTGATTAGGGAACACGGCTGCTCTCTATAATGACACTTGTTTTTCCACTGACAGATTCAGGTGGGGCGTTACAGTATGGAGACATTGAGGTAGGTTGTGTACTATTTTCTCTAAATATACTCATGAATGCGTCTTTATAAGCTGTTTAAAACCATATTCTTGTCAGTTTGCTGCAAAGCTCTTGTTCAAGCTTACCTGTGTGTATAATAGCTGTTAAATACTGCGTTTTCTTATTAGATTGCCATTACAGCTGTTACTATATTGTCTCTCTAATCATATTCATTCTGTGTCCAAATCAGGAGTTTAATGGGCGGCTGTGTATTGTGTGTCCGTGGCACAAGTACAAGATCACACTGGCAGAAGGGGAAGGGCTTTATCAAGCTGTGGACGATCCTACAGTCAAACCCCTGAGAACTCACTGGCGCTCCAAGGGTGTCAAACAGAGGATTCACAAGATCACTGAGGTCAACGGGGATGTATATGTAACACTGAACGACTCCAGCGAGGCCGTCGAGTCAGACGTCTACCAAACTGAGAGATATCGGACTGTCTTACCCAAGGCCCAGCCAGTACCTAAGAACAAGAAATAGAGTTGTTGGATTATTCAAAGAATACTCAAAAGGACTATTGGAGATGTTTTGTTTGTTTGTGTTTCACTGGGTAACATTTTGTCACACTAATAAAATACTCTTAACAACTGTGTGAGCTGAAAAGCTTGTAAGAGTCAATCTAGGACAAAGAAGGAAATATCTGATGAATGAATGAATATAGGACATTTCAGCAGTAGTTGCAGGAATTGAGAACCGGTCCCAAATTGTCTAATCCACATGAATCTTATGCCTACAATGACGTGAAACTCATGCCTTCATTTCACAAAGAAACTCAAACTACTGTAACTCTGAGCGTTTTCTACTGTGTTCATACCTTCTGTTTACATACACTGTTCATTACTCTTCTCTTGCTCTGATGGACACAGTTTGTTTTAGTAAGATCAGAGACATTGAACAAATCAGCAGGTATGATATAGAACTGTCTGGCACATATGAAATTATTCTAGCTTATTATAACACCTGGTTTTGCAGGGTTTTTAGGGACTTCTACACAATGTTGTGGTTTATAATTATTAAAATGTGTACAAATATACTGTATACATTTTAATAAATGTATGTGTGTCATGGTAAATGTTATGAGGAATATTATGAGTCCTTTGTGACATCTGTTAAGCTAAATTATTCTGAACACAAGTCAAATTATCACAAAATATAAACCAAACTATCAGTCAGAAAAAACACCAATATTGTTAAATCGTGACAATAATAGTTAGTTGCAGCCCTATTTAGGTATTTATCATATTTATAGTTGTTCGAGGACTATACAGACCGCTGTCACGGCCCTCTTAATGACCCTGCACACCAATTATATAATAATATAATGATCACAGGGTTTGTTTGTCTGCATAACAAATACTTATGATAAAGCACATTTTCTGTGATTACTTACGTGAGACTCTGAATGCAGGATTTCTACTTGTAATTTAATGTTTTTACATCATTGTATTATTTCTTCTACTTAAAAAAAGCTGAATACGTCTTCTAAAAAGGACTATTCAGGCAAAATAAGTCAAAACACCTATGTGTATGTGTATTATGGGCATTCAGGGACTTTAAGTGAAGTCACTCGATAGGGCAACACAGTAGGAGGCGCAGGAAGGCAGGCAGGGCAGCAGAAGCAGCAGAGGCAGCAGAAGGCAGCAGGGGGCATCAGAAGTCAGCAGAGGGCAGCAGAGGGCAGCAGAGGCAGCAGACAGGCAGAGAGGGCAGCAGGGCAGCAGGAGCAGGCAGAAGGCAGCAGGGGGCGCAGAAGGCAGCAGGGTGCATCAGAAGTCCAGCAGAGGGCGCGAAGGCAGCAGGGGGCAGCAAGAAGGCAGGCAAGTGGGCAGCAGGGGGCAGCAGAGGGCAGCAGGGGGGCGCAGGAGGGCACATAAGGCAGGGCAGGGGGCATCAGGAAGTCAGCAGAGGGCAGCAAGAAGGCAGCAGGGGGCAGCAGGGGGCGCAGAGGGCAGCAAATGGCAAGCAGACGGGGAGCAGAAGGCAGCAGAGGGAGCAGAAGGGCGCAGGGGCAGCAGGGGGCAGCAGAGGTCCGTGTGTTTATTAGTCTGCTGTCATGAGTAGAAACGAACAAAGCAAGTCGCAGCCTGATGACGCAATATTCAGGCTCCACTATGGTTGATGTGGTGGGTAACCTCAGCAGCGAAAAGTGCTTTATCTTTAAAATACATTTCAGTTTCTACTCAGTTATATAGTGTCAGAATAATCCGATTTAAACTTTTTTATTTTTTTTTACCAGTTTTGTGGATACTGTGTGAAGTTTCAGGTCAAAGATGGAAGCTAACAAGAGATAAATCTCCAGGACGACCACTGTTTTCACTTTGTGGTCCCTCTTCGTCTCCAACAAGAATATCTGCCGTGATGGCATCAGGTATGTGTTGTTTAGCCTGACTGATACAGATCATAAAGGGTCTTATGTTGCACACTAGAGGAGCTGGCTATCTTCTCCACTGAGCTGCGTGAAGTTCAATCGTTTCCTTTTTCTTCTCCAGAGGATGAAATCAATCTGCTGGTCATCGTCGTGGATGTAAATCCGATATGGTGGGGCCAGCAAGCTCAGCGTGAGCCAGAGGTAGTGCTGTTACTCTGACTCATGTATGGTTTATTAGACTGTTAGTTGTTTGTTTTTTTTAATGTGGTTTCTATTGTCCTCCTGTCTCTCTGTCCAGTTCACCCTTTCAAAGTGTCTGGATGCAGTGATGGTGATGGGGAACTCACACATGGCCATGACCAGGACAAACAAGCTGGCTGTCATCGCTAGCCACTGTCAGGACAGGTAAGTTCATATAGTATAGAGTTTTATACAGTTTCCTGTGTTGAAAAGTACTCAAGTACTCTTATTGAAGTGCTGTACTAAGTATACTTTTAAAGTACTTCACTTACTTCTGTTCCACTACGACTTAGTTTAAGTTTTTTGGCTCGTAACCCCTTACAAAAAAACCAGTATCAAACTGTTAACTGTCTATATTTTCTATATTTTAACCAAAAAAAGCAAAAATATGCTGCTAACACATTAATCCATCAATCAAGTAACTTTTGTTTCTAATACTTTTGTGCTTTTACTTAAGTAGATATTTAAATGCAGGACTGTAAACTTTCCAGGATTGAAGGGCCGACCGTCTTGGTGAATGTAATGTTTTGCTCCTGTCACAGTTTATATGCACATTTCTCCCACTTCCTTTTATTTCAGTCACTTCCTGTATCCCAGTAAGAGCTGGCGAGGCGGGGACAGCGGTGCTGAGGATGCATCCTCCAGCGGGGATGGAAAATATGAACTCCTGTCAGTCGCCAATAACCTTATTGCTGAAGAGATCAGGAATGTTATGTCAAAAAGTGAGTATGAGGCTGTTTTATGTTGGTAAAATTAACATACAATATATACAGCAATTAATGCACTGTGTCATGTGTTTAATGGTGTTGTTCATTGTTGGTGACTAATTAATATTTACACTGTGTTTTATGTGATTGCAGCTGAAGTGAGGGGAAATTCAACTGATACTTTGTTGGCTGGATCCCTTGCCAAAGCTCTCTGCTGTATCCTTTCAGTAAAAACAGTTTACAGTTTTCAGCATTTATGACATGTACTGGACCTTTTTTATTTATTAAGAACAGTAAAGTGACTAATATAAGAATAAATTCACATTAATGAATGACTGTTACAAGTTACAAGAAGCTGAAGAGATGAAGAAGGGCAATGACAAGCTATACAGACGCAGTAGGCTGTATGAGGGAATCTTTAGTTTCATATGTCCTCACTTTTATATTTATCTGTAGCCTGCAATGTTTTGGGTGTCTGGACATGTGAAATGTTGTTTATCACAGCATTATAGGATATATTTTATGTTTGTGTTAGGACAGTCACCCAGTTACAACTGTGATAGACTTCCATTATTGTTTTTTGTTTGTTTTATTCTATAAAATCAAATGTAGGTACTGTAATTGTGGGATAAGTTTCTATATGTGCTCCTGCTGTTGGAAGTGATGTTTTTATATGTTAAGACTTTCTATTACTTACACTCTATTTGAAAGAAACGTCTGCAGATTGTTTTTCATTTTCTTTCTGTACACTGCAGCGAGTGTGGCCGAGACTGAGCTGAGGTATTTTCCTCAAATGTTCCTTAATCCTTTAATATTCAGATATTAACAGAGTCTCTAAAGACAACGAAGGTAACTAAAATGTTTTTATTATTTAGCTTTATTATACTCTCCAATGGGTGCAGTTTTCCTTTCAACCCTTATTAATGTTGCCTTTTCTTTTTTTAGTTCGACGGGATACAAAATCAAGAATATTGGTAAGCCCTAAATGGTCTAATTTCATGAGTGCTTTTGTTATATTTTCCACCACTTTGAACAGAACCTCTGTATTTTACTGGATAGGTGATAAAAGCAGCCGAGGACTGCGCTCTCCAGTACATGAACTTCATGAATGTCATTTTTGCTGCCCAGAAGCAGGTAAAATCATTAATCTTCTGGTTTTTTTGTTCTGTTTACTTCTTGTAACATATGTTTATTATAAAAAAAATACTTACTTACTATAATTTGTTTTGTATTTTAAAACAGAACATCCTGATAGATGCCTGTGTGTTGGACTCAGACTCAGGTCTCCTTCAGCAGGTACATTTTCCCGGCTTTGTTAGGACATTGACAGGATTACCATCCACCATAGCAAATACCATCCAACAGTCGAACCAAACTACTCGTGCATTGAATTAAATAGCTTCTAGAACAATTTAAATAAGGCACACGTTCCTGGCAAGTTGCTCTCACACTGCAGTACTTTAAAGTGTTGATATTTTTCACTATATTAATATAATCAGCATAAGGTATGATACTTTGACTGTATTTTGCTGTCCTAACCTGCATATATACCCAGTGTTTTTACCTTCAGATGTTTGTTTTGTAGGCTTGCGATATAACTGGAGGACTGTACCTCAAGATACCACAGAAACTTGCTCTGGCACAGTACCTTTTGGTAAGAGTGCAGATCCAATTTCCACATTTCTGAGAGCATCATTTGTCTTATCTTTCTGTAGAAAGGGCTGCTTTGTGTTGATGATGGTGTTTTCTGAACAGTGGGTGTTCCTGCCTGACTCTGAGCAGCGTTCACAGTTGGTGCTGCCACCGCCTGCACACGTGGACTACAGAGCTGCGTGTTTCTGCCACCGTAACCTCATCGAGGTCGGTTATGTGTGCTCGGTTTGTCTGTCAAGTAAGTTTGATTCCCAGTTAAGAGAATAATTTAATAACTGTATACTGGAAAAAGCTGCAGTTACAGTATGTTTTTGTGACGCTTTCTCTTCGTCTTCCCTTTCAAGTATTCTGCAACTTCAGTCCCATCTGTACAACTTGCGAGTGAGTCTTAATAAATAATTAAATTATACATTTTACAAAACCTATTTGCTCCGAACACTAAAACTATACAATCTGTGATCTAAAATCATTTTGTTTTTCAGGACTGCCTTCAAAATCCAACTACCACAGATGGTCAAGCCCAAAAAGAAGAAACTCAAGCAATCTACATGATCTTTGCTGGGGATACACAAACATAGTACATTTAATTTCCTTTTTGATATTCAAATTACACCATTTTGTGTGGAGGTGAACTATAACAAGCTTCAGTGACATCCTGGAAATGCCTTTGTGGGAAGCAGAGACGTATGAACATGTTGACTTGACTAACATTGACTGTCTTTACATGCGCACGTAAGCTGATGCTTTACCCAACTGTTGTCAAAAGGTTAAGGTTAATTTAGTTAATGATGCTCAATACAGATAATCCACTCAGGCTATGTATAGATGACTTATTGCTTTGATAAAATGTAAGATGGGAAGGTTTTTTGATGTGAAGTTTTTTATAATAAATGTTTGTCACACAGCTTTTTGCCATTCTCATTTTAATGTGGTCTTAAATAGCTGTTCAGATTCTTCAAGCTGAATCAGCAATTAGGAAGGTGGAAATATTTTATTGTGTTCAGCTTCCAAACAGGTGAAGATGTATTAAACTTCAAGAAAATATTTCAAGTTCACGCAAAACAAAAAATTTTAAATTAAAAGTGGAGTAAAGATTTTGGTAATGATTCATCATTATTGAAAATAAGTATTTATTGATGGCAGTAGCAAAATTAATTATTTTCCAAAGTCTCTTGTTGCTTTTTAGTGTCACTTCAGATCACTGCAATATATTTCAACAGCTACTCCACATTTGTCATTTATATTCTCTCAACTCTTACTGTACAGTATAAGGTAGCAATGTTTATACAGCAATCACTTCACTAAACTCAGCAGTATGTGTTGACACTCTTATTTTCATACATCCTGTATGAAGGAAATAGTTCAGTTTCTGATTAAGATATTGAAAAAATAAACAGATGGAAATGTCTGCAGTATTTACAAATTCAGTTTGAAACCATCCAGGGGTAACGTGTGGAGGAAGGGGTTTCATGTCATGGCGATCACCGAGAGATTGGAACAATGTTACACCTGAAAAAGAAAACAATGACAAGATAATGAACAATATGAACCACGTTATACCTGCTAATCCCAGCAGGCAGCTATTTTAATCATGCATTTTAAAAGTGGATGTCAACAAAACAAAGCTGCCTTTCACAACTTTCTTTGCTTCTAAATATCAGCTACTGTACTAGACTAAATAACTCTCAATCCAAATCCATGACTCTGATTGTGTCTGTAGCACTTACCCGAGCAGACCTCTGCCTGACCATCGCTGTGGAGTCAGGCTCATTTGAGCTTTCTGGCCATCCCGGACGACTGTGACCCGTAATGGTTTCTGTAAAAGAATATTACACTTTAGATATTACGTGTGTTCAGCTAAATGTAACCTACTGTTGGACGGTAAGAAATTACTTGAAGACTTTATTCTAATTGTAACAAAAGATATGAAAAAACCTACTTCTGATAAATGTGATAAAAGGTCAAAAAAAGGTTCATTTAGACATCGAACTGCAGCACAAAACTTTCCACAGCACGATTAAGACAAATGACAACAATAACATTTGTTTTAGCTGTATATTATGTCAGTATCTTACCCCTTCACTGTGTTGTACCACAGAAGCAATATTCTGGAGGTTCTGAAAGTTTCCCGTGTTCACAGAACCAAACTCAATGACTCCATCACCAACTCTGAGCCCCTTTGGAAAGAAACAATTACTGTCACAGGAACAAAAACAGCTATTTTTGTCACGTAATAACTCCAAAGAACAGCGATGGTTTATCCGAAACAGCTGTGAAGACACAACAGTATAGTTCACTCACAGCTCCACAGGCGGGTGAGCCCTGTGTCACAGCATCCACCCGTGCAAATGGCGGAGGAAGAGTGACCTGCTGCTCCATCGCCTCGTCCACGGCTTCTGTCTCATCCTGTTCCCGCTTGGCTTTCTCACGAGCATGCAGCTTGTGCAGGGCTTCTTCTATCTCCACCATGATGGCCTTGTGGTCGTTCTGCAGGCCTGAAAGACACGATCAAAGCATTAGCTTAGAAAAGAGATTATTTAAAAAATGGAGAAAGGTAAACAGAGCTGCAAGGAATGCATCATTAATTGATTAGCAATCAACAGATTTCAGGATTTCAGAACACATTTCAGGAGGGCTCTGAGTCCTTGTGATGGGAGTTTTTCATACATTTAACAGATTAAATGAATAATCAAGAAAATAATTATCATATATTATTGAAAATGTAAATAATCTGATACATATTATAAGTATCAGTATCATCTTTAGTATTGGTCCAAGCTTGATGAACTGCCTTTATGTCATCTACCTCTCTGACAGTATGGAACGATAAACTTTTTACATTTAGATACATAAATTATCTGAAAAACCTAAACTTGTTTCACCTGAACGTTTAAACTAATGCATGTTGGCTCACAAACAACCTAAATGTCAACAACAACAACAACAAACACGCTGCTGCTCACATGAAATATTGTGTCTTGCCGTCCTGATCTGGTAAACATTAACATCAGCTCTGGGGTAGCCCTCTTCGTCAACCAAGGGACCTTCAACTCCAACACCTTGCTGTAAACATAGAGACATATAAAGACATATAGAGACATATAGAGACATATAAAGACATATAGAGACATATAGAGACATATAGAGACATATAAAGACATATAGAGACATATAAAGACATATAGAAACATATATAGACATCTAAAGACATAGATACATATAAAGATATATAGAGACATATAAAGAGATATAAAGATATATGTAAAGATATATAAAGATATATAAAGA